CCCTCTCATCCATCCTCCATCTCTGCTCCAACACGTTGGATCAAGACCTCGTGGCGCAATACTTGGTTTGTGGTGTTAACTTGGCAAGTTGACACACTGATTCATTATTATCCATCATTTAATTTATTCACAAGGAAATGTATTTCCCCGATTGGTTCATTCATATATATTATGTATAACTTCTTAATGTATATTTAGTCTTTACATAACACCTCTCACCTGATATAAGACATTTGGTCAATTACTGCCGATCATTGTTTTTTTTATTACTCAGATAAAGACATGGTGAATAAAACATTACAAAAGTCAAGAAATACCAATTTTTTTTTCTAAATAAGGTATAGGAGGTTAAATTGGTAAACAGTTACTTTGTACATATAGTCACAAAAATATCGGTTATCTTTGATTGTCCTATTTTTCGCACTAATCTTCTGAATTTATTCAAGATGTCTGAAGAAAAAATAATGTTGTTAACACAACATAGGGGATTTCAATGTCTCATTACAAATTAAACCACCACTTATTTTCACTACAAAAAAAAAAATGAAAATATGTCACTAATTTTTTGGGTTATACTAGGTAATTTACACTATATATGATAAGTGTACCTATGCATAAATAAACTTACTAACCAATGCTAGTAAGTTTATTTAGGAACAGATCACACATAGTTACACAAATTATCACACATAGTAACATATGTGTAAATTACCTAGGATAACCCAAAAAAAGGTCAGTGACTTATTTCCATTGGGTCCTTCAACTTATTGCTCTCTCACTTAATTACACATACCATGTATAGAGGTCACGACTGTCAGCTACTGATACTTGTTCATTCCTCTCTGGATAGGCTTATTTTCTTTTAGACTTCTACTGGGAACATACTTTTTCATTTTCCAATTTAGAAATATTGGCTACAAATGGTAGCACAATATCCAATAAATTACCTCATTTAATACTCAATAAATAATGTATTTGACTATATCTGTACTCTACTTAATTTTATGAGTTAAAACTTACTCTGCCCTCTACCTACATTAAAACTAAGCGCTAAACCACCAGGGTCCCCTCTACCTACATTAAAACTAAGCGCTAAACCACCAGGGTCCCCTCTACCTACATTAAAACTAAGCGCTAAACCACCAGGGTCCCCTCTACCTACATTAAAACTAAGTGCTAAACCACCAGGGTCCCCTCTACCTACATTAAAACTAAGCGTCTAAACCACAGGTCCCTCTACCTACATTAAAACTAAGCGCTAAACCACCAGGGTCCCCTCTACTACATTAAAACTTTAGCGCTAAACCACCAGGGTCCCCTCTACCTACATTAAAACTAAGTGCTAAACCACCAGGGTCCCCTCTACCTACATTAAAACTAAGCGCTAAACCACCAGGGTCCCCTCTACCTACATTAAAACTAAGCGCTAAACCACCAGGGTCCCCTCTACCTACATTAAAACTAAGTGCTAAACCACCAGGGTCCCCTCTACCTACATTAAACTAAGCGCTAAACCACCAGGTCCCTCTACCTACATTAAAACTAAGCGCTAAACCACAGGGTCCCCTCTACCTACATTAAAACTAAGCGCTAACCACACAGGGTCCCTCTACCTACATTAAAACTAAGCGCTAAACCACCAGGGTCCCCTCTACCTACATTAAAACTAAGTGCTAAACCACCAGGGTCCCTCTACCTACAAGGTCAGTGACAAATTTCCTCTTTACTTACCCAAGGTCACTGGACCCATTATGTACCTTTGTAATCTTTTGACTACTGCCCACAGGATGGGTATGGGGTGCATAATAAAGATATTAAACTAACTAACTACTGTACTTACCCAAGGACGTGTCAAACATCATATACCGGCTGCTGCTGGGCACCTGGTCAGGACGCCATGCATCAACCACTCTTTTTTCTGGGGGGAAGGATGGCAGAAGTCTGTCCTTGTTGGCTGAGTTGGTCTGGTGTATGGAAGTCTGAGTGTCCGTGTTCTAACATGGAAGTCAACCAGACTTAACCGAGATCTTATTGTTTCCATGTCTATTTCCGGGGGAAACTATTTCCTTCATAATTCACATCCAGATTAGGGAAACATTTTTCCTGGGAAGTAAGGCTCAATAAAGGGTAAACTTTGATGGACCTTAATCCCAATAATAATGATAATGACTTCAAATTAATATACACAGTTATTTGAAAGTTAATATTATGCAATGCATTTTGAACAAACTTAAATAAGATTACACGTACATAGCTTTTCTTATGGATCTAGTACAAAAGTATTTTCAGAAGTTAAATATACCTAGTTGACACACAGGTTTTAATTATTATTATTATAATCAAGGGGAAGCACTAACCCCAGAGGATTATACAGTGCCTGGGGAGGGATGTGGAAGGCATTCAGGCTTAATTTGGGAAACTGGAGCACAGATCCAATTCCCTAAATCAAGAGCCCCTCACCAACATCAAGGAACCTTCCTTGAGGGGACACAGGTTTTAAGATTATTCCTCTAAGAATTAAAATATTAATTGACAATTTGCAAATACGTTATGAAAATACATTTCAATGTAAGTTATCTGAATATTATTAAGGATAATTTTTGGAAAATGATTTATTTAAAATAGCAATGTTAAAAAGAAGGGACCAGAATACATTAAGAATTTAACCTTTTCATTATTGTGATTTTTTTAAATTATGTTCTAAAATTGTAGAGAATTTTTTCTGATGGTAATAACACCAAAAATGTGAAATTGATGGAAGACCTACAGAATTATGGAGGCACAAAGTTGGCACTTTTGGTGCAGTTTACATATCAGTAATTTTACCCATTTTCAGGCCTGTTTTTTGGCCATTTCCATTGCTCAGATCAACCAAATTCCTGGTTATTTCACTCTTATAATCTTAATAATGTAACACTTGCCTTTCATTTTGAATTTATCATCACAAAGAATTTAAGTTTTACCATATTTCTCAGCTAATAAAATATAATTAAGAAAGATCATATTGATGCCAAATATTACTGTTCACATCACAGTTGAGGGAACTATAATAAAGACTTAGATCTAAGCACCACTGTCCTCGTTTACTTAGATTTACATAAGACAGTGAAAGCATTAATCCTACTGGTGGGTGCATCTGCCTTGGGGATATCCCTGTCATATTAATAATTTTATATACTATAATGACTTTGTCCAGCAGAATCACCAGGTGTCATGAATATTCATCTTGTGCACTAATTGTATTTGGGTTATATGGCCCTTTGGTTTAAATGAGGTATTGACATTAAGACTATTTAAAGCTTTAGCTAACTTACAAAAATACCAGTTCTCCTCGCCTATAGTAATGGATATATATTCTTTGTTTTAGGGTCACCCTGCCTTGTTGGGAAACGTCCAACGTGTTAAAAAAAAAAATTGTGTATACGTATATGTATACACACACCGGTAGATGGACGGCTGGATCACCACTGCAAGGCGGCCCCTCCTCCTCCACCTTTTTTCACTGGAGGACAGGAGGGTCAGGGGAGACATGATAATGATATGTAAAATACTGTGCAGAATAGACAAGGTGGACAAAGACAGGATGTTCCAGAGATGGGAGACAGAAACAAGGGGTCCCAATTGGAAGATGAAGACTCAGACGAGTCAAAGGGATGTTAGGAAGTATTTCTTCATTCATAGAGTTGTCAGGCAGTGGAATAGCCTAGAAAGTGATGTAGTGGAGGCGGGAACCATACATAGTTTTAAGACGAGGTTTGATAAAGTTCATGGAGCAGGGAGAGAGAGGACCTAGTAGCAATCAGTGAAGAGGCAGGGCCAGGAGCTATGAATCGACCCCTGCAATCACAAATAGGTGAGTACACATTTCCCTGAATCCCTTCACAAAATACTACCCTGCTCACACTCCAACAGCTCGTCAGGTACCAAAAACCACTCGTCTCATTCACTCCTAACATGCTCACGCACGTTTGCTGGAAATCCCGATAAAGCCAGTGCAACCAAACTGTCACCTTTCCTATACCTAATAGCAGGTTTTTACCATTCCAAAATGTTAATTTGGGTGCAGTGCCCTTCAGGGAAAGGTAGTTTTTTCTTTTTTCACTGTTGAGTAGCATATCACTTTAATTCTGTTTACTAACATACAGCATTTGTAAATTTTAATTTGAGGGAGGTGGCACCCTTTGGGTAATTTCTCTTGAGCTATTAAAGCTCTCTTTATGCTGTTTCCAAAGCTTTTATATGTGCTAATTTTTAAAAGATTATTGGTAACTACAGCAAGAGTAAGAGGTAAATGAATTTGGAAGGGTGTGTGAGAGGAGGGTATTACAGTAATAGTAAACACAGAAAAGAGTAAGGTAATGAAAGTAACAAAGTCCATGCATTAGAAGTTGGATATCATATTGGAGGGAGTATGGAGAAAGTGGATGTACAGTATTTAGATTTTTGGTAGTGGACATGTTGGTAGATGTTTCTATGAAATTTGAGGTAAACCATAGACATAATGGGAAAAAGTTTCATAGTGTCTCAAAGCATCTGTGGAAAGCAAGTTGATCTATCAAGGTCAAAGGAAAAAAAAATATCAGAGTATACTGGTACCAACACTTATGTGGATGCGAAGAAGAGGTAGTGGGGATGTCATTATTTGAGAGTAGTGTGAGGTGCAAACATTATGCAGGGATTTCAGAGGGTAGAAATCATGAGACTGTGTGGAGTTACCGAGAGTATACAGTTGGGAGGGGGAAGAAGAGGGTGGTTGTTGAGGTGGTTTGGAAAGGGACAGAATGATGCATAAATCTAGGGCAGATATGGATGGGTAGGAGTCATCCCAGACACAGTTAACATTTCCGTACGACCCAAATGGGTCATACAGCACTTCCATAAGAAACTGCCATCAAGTTTTTTAAATTCCATTGAAATTCAAATATTTAGTTCATTGAATTTACAATGCAGAGGGAGATGATCCATTGCATTTAACATTAAGGAAACAAATAAAACTAGAATTGAAATTCATTCTTTGCAAGTTTATAAAATGATCAATAGGTTTAACAGGACTTCGCTTACGACAAAGCTCTTCCATACCTGTATCAAAGATATCTTCCTAACTAGTTCTTTCATATAAACTTAAAATAACTTTTCCTCAGTGAAAAAGACTAATATGCTACACAATTGTGTATTCCTGTAGTAATCTTACAATTAAATATCGCTGGCAGTTGTAAATGCAAGTTACAACAGATGTGTGACTAGTACAGAGGCAAAAAACTGCACTCAGTACTGGATCAGCATGGCAGTGGTGCATGACGACTACTCTGCTCTTGCAATTACTACAGATGCGTATAAAACCTAATATAGTACAGTACTCTGAGTGAGTTTTAGCATCTATATTTTTAATGTAAAATTTCTATACATGTAAAATACAATATAAATTTTGACATTTGCAAACTAGTTTTTGAATCTGATAATTATATGAAGAGGTGTACTGTAGAATCAAACCTTATTTTGTCAGTTCTAAACTTTATTTTGTCTGAAGGATGATTTAATTTTAACAGTGTCTATATCTAAGGTCATCTCTACAAAACACTTACCAGTCAAGTTGCTGGTGGTAGTTAGAACAATGGAGGCCAAGTCACACCTCTTCATGGTTAGAACAGTCAAGATCAAGTCTTACCTGTTCATGGTGATTAGTTAATGTGTACCCTGTTCACTCCAGCTAGAGGTAAGGTAACATAACATTGTGATACAGGTTCTCTTTTCGGTGTTGGTAGCTAATTTTCACAAGTTGTGAAAACTGTGTACACATGCATGTGTGCATATTTTTAATTAATTTGATGGCTCACTCCTGCCAAAGCAGGGTGACCTAAAGAAGAGAGAGCATTTTTCATCATCTGTTAAATCAATGTCTTGCCAGAAGTGTGCTGACATCATGATTCAGTGCCTGCACACACTGAAGGAGGGGTGGGAATACTGACGTTGGCGCCAGGAAAATGACTGTGATGTCAGCGCACTTTTAGCAAGACAGTAATTGAATGAATGATGCTGAATGTGTTTATTTTTTTGAGCATCCTGCCTTGATAAGAGAAGACTATCAAGATAAAAAATATATGCACCTATACAGTACGCACATTAAATATTTTTACCTCATTAGCCATGTCCCACCAAGGTAGGGTGACCAAAATAAAGTTAATTCATTCACCATCAATCATTCAGTATCTGATTTGCATGAACTGCGCAAACATCACAATTCAAACGATCCTCCAAACCGTAACACTCCTCTAACCCTCCTTTGGAATACAGGCATTGTACTGTACAGTGGACCCCCGGTATTCGATGGGATCGGTATCCGATAAATCCGGTATTCGATACATGTTAACACAAAAATTTTGCCTTGCCACTCGTTAAAAAACCCGCCACACGCGATTCGTCCGAGACGTGTCCACGTGTGGCTTGAACTGACCCGTGCGTGCCAGTGTTTACAAGCCAGCCAGTGTGCTCGCATCTAAGCATACATTCGGTACATTCCATATTATCAGTGTTTTTGGTGCTTGTTTCTGAAAAATAAGTCACCATGGGCCCCAAGAAAGCTTCTAGTGTCAACCCTTCGAGAAAAAGGGTGCTAATGACTATTGAAATGAAGAGAGAGATAATTGCAAAGTACGAAAGTGGAGTGCGTGTGTCGGAGCTGGCCAGGTTGTATACAAAACCCCCATCAACCATCGCTACTATAGTGGCCAGGAAAATGGCAATCAAGGAAGCTGTTGTTGCAAAAGGTGCAACTTTGTTTTCGAAACAGAGACTGCAAGTGTTAGAAGATGTTGAGAGACTGTTATTGGTGTGGATAAATGAAAAACAGATAGAAAATAGCATCTCTCAAGCGATCATTTGTGAAAAGGCTAGGAAGTTGCATGAGGATTTAATTGAAAAAATGCCTGCAACTAGTGGTGATGTGAGTGAATTTAAGGCCAGCAAAGGTTGGTTTGAAAGATTTAAGAATCGTAGTGGCGTACATAGTGTGATTAGGCATGGTGAGGCTGCCAGTTCGGACCAAAAAGCAGCTGAAAAATATGTGAAGGAATTCAAGGATTACATAGACAGTGAAGAACTGAAACCTGAACAAGTGTTTAATTGTGACGAAACAGGCCTGTTTTGGAAGAAATTGCCAAGCAGGACCTACATTACTCAGGAGGAAAAGGCACTCCCAGGACATAAGCCTATGAAAGACAGGTTTACTCTTCTGATGTGTGCCAATGCTAGTGGTGATTGCAAAGTGAAGCCTTTATTGGTGTATCACTCAGAAACTCCCAGAGCGTTCAGGCAAAAGAATGTCCTCAAGGCTAATTTGTGTGAGCTGTGGAGGGCAAACAATAAGGCATGGGTCACTAGGGACTTTTTCTATGACTGGTTACACCATGCATTTGCCCCCAATGTGAAAAATTACCTAATTGAAAAGAAATAGACCTTAAGTGCCTCCTGGTATTAGACAATGCCCCTGGTCATCCTACAGACTTGGCAGAGCGACTTTCTGGGGACATGAGCTTCATTAAGGTCAAGTTTTTGCCTCCTAATACCACTCCTCTTCTGCAGCCCATGGACCAGCATGTCATTTCCAACTTCAAGAAACTGTACACAAAAGCTATGTTTCAAAAGTGCTTTGAAGTGACCACAGACACTCGATTGACTCTAAAAGAGTTTTGGAGAGATCACTTTAATATCCTCAATTGTGTAAACCTTATACGTAAGGCTTGGGAGGGAGTGACTAAGAGGACCTTGAACTCTGCTTGTAAGAAACTGTGGCCAGAATGTGTAGACAAAAGGGATTTTGAAGGGTTTGAGGCTAACCCTGGGAATCGTATGCCAGTTGAGGAAACCATTGTAGCATTGGGGAAGTCCTTGGGGTTGGAGGTTAGTGGGGAGGATGTGGAAGAGTTGGAGGAGGAGGAGGACAATGACGAACTAACCACTGATGAGCTGCTAGATCATCTTCAACAGCAAGAGGCCAGACCTGAGGAAACTGCTTCGGAGGAGGGGATAGAGAAATTGAGGAAGTTGCCTACTTCACAGATTAAAGAAATGTGTACAATGTGGACAAAGGTGAAAACCTTTATGGATGACAATCACACTCACACAGCTATTGCAAGCCGTGCTGGTGACTATTACAATGACAGTGATGTGAACCACTTTAGAAAAGTCGTAAAGGAACGAGAGGTACAGGCCTCTATGGACAGATATGTTGTGCGACAGAAGTCCAGTGACTCTCAAGCTGGTCCTAGTGGCATTAAAAGAAGGGAAGTAACCCCAGAAAAGGACTTGCTACCTCAAGCCCTAATGGAAGGGGATTCCCCTTCTAAACAATAAGTTCGACACTCTCCCCTCCTCCCATCCCATCAATCATCACCAGATGTTCATTAACCCTTTGGGAGTCGACAGGTCCTCTCAGAGACTTGTTCTCAGGGTCGGCCAAATTTAAAAAAAAAAAAAAATTATTTTTAATGAAAAGATAGAGAATCTTTTCCCAATCATAATGACACCAAAAGTATGAAATTTGATGGAAAACTTACGGAATTATGCTCTCATGAAGTTAGTGGTCTCGACGATGTTTACGCATCGGCGATTTTGCCCACTTTGAGCCCTATTTTCAGCCAATTCCAGTGTACTAGTCGACAAAAATCATAACTATTTCGCTAAAACTCAATCTTTTCTATAGAAAGAGTACAAGAAACCACCCATTTACTGATTTCAACTATCCAATAAAGTGGTCAGAATTTAGCAATTTTGCCAATTTCACACAAATTTCAAAAGATGCCAATTTTCGAATAGGGTCCAGAATAAACAAGAAAGTCATTCCTGGCACTAAAATAACTAGTAAGTTCTCTGTTCGTTAGTCACATCCCCAGGCCCCTCTTATATTTCCTTGGCTTTCCACTTTGAATTTTTATTCTTACAAAAAAAATAAGATTTACTGTTATGCAGACTACTGCATTAGTGTAGAAATGGTATAAATAATATCAGCGCACTTGTGAAAGAATATTAGACTCACCAGTTGATGTGTATTGGACGCTTGGCATGATTTGTTTACTTTTGAACTTTGGTAAAAATCAAACATTTCTGCTACTTTGAGTTCAATTTCAAGGTACTGTACTTTTCATTGTAAAACCAGTCAAAATCATCTCAATTTCTGTAATATGTCTGTAATATGAGACCAGGAAAACTAGAATACAACAATAAATACCATACGAAAATAAAGTGCAAAGTCGCTGTTTTAATCCAAAAACACGGTCAAAGTTTTTTTTCTCATTATGCACTGTGTGCTGCAGGATTTTTTTTATACTGCACACACTGACCACATAGAACAATTTTTACATATGTATGCCTACCAGCTTTCTCTCACTAGATTTGAGGGCACTAGAATTTAGGCATACTAGTACGTCAAAAACCCTGGGTCGTAAGATGTACTAGTAGTACGTCCGAAACCCTCAAAGGGTAAGTGTCATGTATTCTATTGTTAGTAGAGTACTATAAACTGTGCATGGCTTCTTCAGTTTGTGCGCATTAAACTTAATATTTCATGTGGTAAAAATTTTTTTTTCATACTTTTGGGTGTCTTGCAGGGATTAATTTGATTTCCATTATTTCTTATGGGGAAAATTAATTCGCCTTTCGATAATTTTGGCATACGATGAGCTCTCAGGAATGGATTAATATCGTATACCAGGGGACCACTGTACTTCCTCCAGGGGACTAAGTCTGACTAACCAGTGTTCCTGAATCCCTTCATAAATGTTATCTTGTTCACACACAACACATCAAATCATATGAACCACATCTACATTCAGTTCTGTCTAACATGCTCATGCAAGTTATTGCCACTGCATTTCTCCTCCAGAGGCTCTTGATCTAATAAACTGGGCTTATTCTTCCCTTCGTTGGATAGATCTTCAATGCCTTGCATTCTCCAGGTGCTATACGAACCCTATTTGTTTAGCACTTCCCCCTTATTAAAGCAAATTTGTATACACAGTATTATCATTGCATTATGCATTATATAACCTGAAAAATAAATCATGGAACCTTTACATTTTGCAAATGAAACATTCACAGCTTTCACAAGTTATAAATAAATTCTTTGTCTATATCTATTTTTTTTTTTGGGCTTGACAATTTTGTCAAAATGATGAAAAGGTAGAATACAAATGACAGCTACCAATTTATCCTTGTAATACGACTGATACTGACCCTTTGCTCGGGTTTTAACGTTATCAAAGCGTGCAGATGCTTAACATATATGTAAACCACTGTAAAAATAATAACAAAGACCTCGCACATACAACCTCTTCGTAACACAACCTTATTGCAATTAAAACATTCCCTTATCTGCATACTCATTTAATAGATCAATGAGCAAAAATGCATACAAAGACAAAAAAATGCATATGCAATAACAAATGATATGTCATAGACATTGGTCTATTTGTAAGATAAAGATTAACAGTGTCAGTAATACACTTGATGTTATCCATCTTTCAAACAAAAACAATAGCTCACTCCAGACCCAGTAAGATAACTAGCAAAAATAATGATCTATAAAAGAACTTGTAAAGTCTTCATATCAATTCCAGTGAATGTATGATTTTGAAACTACTGCAGTTGAAGTATAGCATAGCCAACAAACGGGTGAGGAGGCGTAAAATAATATCATTATTAATAAGTCTGACATTTCATCTACATGAGGATTAATTAAATGCCTTGAGAAAGCCTCATGCACATGAAATATTTTATAAATAAGGGTCTCCTTTTACTATGCATTTTTTATGATTTTGAATCTATTCTAGAATAAAGCAACAAAATAGACAATTTTGCAAATATATTATATATTATTATTATTATTATTATTATTATTATATTCAAACATATGCACTGAACTTCCAGAGTTCATACAGCACTGCTAGTATGGGTGTGCAATAGTAGAGATTAGTGTGGGTACAAAATTGAAATTATTTATATTTAGAGGAAAGTGATAAACCTATAAGGGTCATGTTGTACCTGAGGAATGGGAGGTAATTAGGTGAGATCCAGGTAAGGGGGAAAACAGACTCAATTTTTTTTTAGAGTTGATACATTAGGCTAGTTTCCATCAGAGTGGGTTAAAGGCGGGACTAAGTAAGGATGTGCAACCTGGCAGTCCTCACACAGGTACTGTGTCTCTGTGACAGTGCGTGTATAGTTAACCATACATGTCAGGTAGGCTTCAATTTTTTCTTCTAACTAAGACCAAAGTTGTTGCCAGTGGTTTTATGGTTAAAGAACTGGTTTCCTCACTTTATACAGATCTACTATATGCAATTTCACTTATATGCAACAACTGTTTCTACCAGGAATTTGCTACATATACAATAATTCACTCTCATGCAATTGCTGTGATTTTATCAATATCATTAAATGTCACTCTAAACTTGACTTTTATAAGAAAGTTTATTAAATAGGTTCAGAAAGAAAACAGGTTTTTTATGTTCCTAAATCAAATGAGCAAATGAAGATTTCAAGGTTGTGGTGATTGTGATGGCTTGTGTGTGTGTGATGTCCTGCACCTCACTCATTAAATGTGTCCAGGACAAGTGGCCCAAGGCTGGGCTCCAGGAACAGAAAAACTCTTAAACTCATCAAAGGTATAAACAAATCTTGTTCTCCCCCTCCTAAACGAACAAAACATAAATAATAAGAGAGGCAGGGAAACCATGAGTGCTGGGGCCTCCTTCCACAGTTCACTGGCTTCCAACATACTACCATCCTAACCAATCACCTGCCATTCCCCCCACCTCTGCTTGCCAACCATTCATGTAATGACAACATATATAATAAATCTACAGTTCTTGACCAGTCTTTACTAAAAATATCTAGCTTTTTTATACATGTAAGAAATGAACATTCAGAAAATATGAATGTATTTGGTAAAAAAACAAAAAATAAAATATGTGGAAATTAGTCTCTGAATGAAACCCTATCTTTTACACGTTATAATGGGTTTGCTATATGTGATTTTGCTGTATGCGCCAAAGCGAGGGAGACCTGTATTAGAAAATGCAGTAGTTTGAAAAAAGAACTCCCCTGTGGGAAGAAGTTAGTTCACGAACTGCATGACTAAATCTGAGTTCACTGCCCTGAAGCATGTGGGTTGTGGAGAGGAATGTTCTTGGACACCTTGTGATGTATTTCAAAAGTTGAGACAATGAGGTGTGAAGGAAGAGTACAACATGTGGTGAATGTAAAGAATGGGGGAAGGGGGTGCAAATTAAGAGATTGTCTATTTTGAACCTGGAGACTTAAGGGCCAAAACAAATTGGGGAGAGGACTAAATTAATTTATCTTGCTATCTATTATTCTGATGATTAAGACTGTCATGAAAGCTAACAAAACAGGCAATGAACACTGCATCATTCTTGTAAAGAAGGAGTGCCTGCTTCTGTATACAAGCTCTTGACTGGGAAAGCTTGAAAGACCACTAGGCATAAACTCAATTTCTGATGATAATCAGCACAGCTTCTTAAAGAACAGCTGGAGAGGTCAAGGAATTCATTTGGTCCCCATATCTAGCTTGGACAGAATAAGGGCTGCATGAAGTCTAGAGTAAGTTTTGCCTATCAGCACACTACCCACATGAATACAATAATAATAATTTTAACCCTGAAGTACTTTAAAAGAACACTGTACACACTAGGATAAATTCTGTAAACTATATACTTATTTAAGCAGAATCCTGATTTTTGTAACAAATCATGCTAATATGAAATATAAATACTGTATATACAGTACTCTATAAAAAAAAAAAAACCTGGATTACATGAATTTTTTTTTAATTTTATACAAGCAGGGAAAAAATCTTGATAAACCTTGGAAGTAATGAAAATGCAGAAAAGGCAGATTCAACAGTAACTAAACATCACAGGGCATTTAATCAAATTTACAAAAGAAATGCCAAAATGTAATGTTTAGAAGACAATACCCTCTTGGTTTTAGTGTTTAATGTCATTATTATCATTAGAAGACAATGACCTTAATTTTTATGCATGAGCCACAAAACTAATATCAATGGAACACATTACTTCTACAGAATGTGTCATGTTTTAATAATCAAATTATCACTCGTCCATGAAAATAACTTCAAAAATCAAATAGTAACAATACAGGAAATCTTCTCTTAACAATGCCCGAAGTACTGTATGACCTTTTGATACAAGACGACTGAAACATTAGAGTTCATATTCACTATACAATCTTATTTCTGATATATAACTGTATGGCCCTTTTGTGTTTAATATGAATGATTCTGATATATAAACAATTGTAGTAACAGCCTGTCCCAAGTTGTTTTGTCTTGTTTCAAAGTTATGTATTATTTTTGAACACAGCCAAATAAGTTTGAAGAGTACTAAGTGATAAGGACTGCAAATACTATAATCAAGAACCAGGCTATAAAAAAACATTCCAGTACTAATACGATGGTTTTTATAAAGCAAGTTTTATGGTATACATCATGTTAAGTAAGGATTACCTGTATTAATAAAATTATTGCAAAGTTCACAAGAATTTTCTTAACTGACTTTAATACTATAATTTTTAAATATCTAATGTGTGTGTGTATTAAAGCATATTTATTAGCATGCTTAAGGTACATACAACCATGAAAAAGTACAAAATTCTGTTAGCATTGAAATGATAATTACTTTACTGTAAAAATAAACCACAATACAATATTTGTAATAAACAAACTCTTACACATGTTTAAGATTTTTACCAAAAATTATATCCTGGGAAAAATAAACAATTATATATCCATATTTTTAACAAATACTAGTCAAATTTTGATAGAAATTCTTAGTTATTCAACTATATGGATGGCATACATCATTATTTAAAAAGAAGAAAAAGACAAGTTAAGGCATAATGAGGTCCAAAGTCTCATTGTTTATCAACATAAAAACTTACAAGTGCTCAAGATTTAATTATTTACTTGTCATGCCTTTATAATTCACCATTTCCTGGAGCATCTTTTGGTGCTCTAGTCAATCTCTTGGCACCTCTATTTGCTGGACCTTTAGGCTTCGCAAATTTAGGACGGTGAAGGTTTCGTTTTGGGTGAATTTCATCAAGCAAGTATTCCTCCGTTAGCTCTGAGCCTTCACCAATTTCAAGCTGAGGAAATATAATTTTAATGAGATGTGTAATATATACAATATTCTTTGTAAAAACTCAGTAGGTATCTCCAACAAACAAACAAACACACACACACAAAAAAAAAATACGAGAATTTATTAAACAATTAGATATGGAAAAAGTATATCGAAAGGGTATTAATTCAAAATACAAGAGAAGGGGATATAGTGACTGCATAACCTTAAATTGATTGTTTTTCACAATCTTTCCTAATCCATACTGTATATTTTTTTGATCTAATGGAAAATCTTTATTCCAGCAACTGTGCTTTCTCTTAACACTTTCCTCTCACCACAAATGCAAATATTGTATTATTATTATTATTATTACAAATGATACAGCAAACCAATGATTTTATGGATTAATAGGGAAAGGAAGTGTTCACTGATGCTAATTGTCCATTAAATTCAAATTATGAGAATATTTTTCTATGATTCTAACACTAATGGACAATTTTTGGATATGACAGACTATGTCTGTTAAATCTGAAATTAAATTCATCAAGCAGACTACAACAATAATAGATAATTCTGAAACTGTCCATAAAAATAATGAACAACAACTTTGTCCATTGCTTCTGAGTGTTGTCTGGCTGTACATTTTATCCGTTAAATCTGAAATTTGTTAAATTGGGGCTTATTGTAATAAAAAAATATTTTATACCTGCAATCTAAATTTAAAAAAACTTTGATTATTAATAAGTTCCTCACCTTTTTTGTAATAGCCAAATTGAAGCCATTTTCTAAAAGATCTGTAATGGGGTTTTTACTGCTGGAATACAGCATTCTTTCCTTAATTGGACAAGCATAACCAGGCATGGAATATATAAATACTGAAAAACAAACATATCAGTATTAAAAGCAAGTTTGTATTTTAAATTATATATATATATATTTTTTTTTTTTCAACAAGTCGGCCGTCTCCCACCGAGGCAGGGTGACCCAAAAAAGAAAGAAAATCCCCAAAAAGAAAATACTTTCATCATCATTCAACACTTTCACCACACTCGCACATTATCACTGTTTTTGCAGAGGTGCTCAGAATACAACAGTCTAGAAGCATACACATATAAAGATACACAACATATCCCTCCAAACTGCCAATATCATATATTCCAACATATATTTATTGTCAATTTAAAATTCTGTTTTTATGAAGTGTACTTAGAAGTGAAAATGCCAAATCATTTTACAGTTGAAATTAAAAATTTTATGTAATATCATTCAAAATGCCTCAATACCTTAAACAAATACTGCATTCAAAAGAAAGTTTTCATATTTTAGTGTAGATTAAACCAATCATGAGAATTACCTAAATTTTTAGTTTCATTAGAGTTTTGACCCTGGGGTGGGTCATGTCATAAGGCTAGAGGAATTAAATGATGTCTTAAGACTATGAAAGGGAAGCAGAAATAAGTACAGTAGTCTTATTTAATGTCTAAAAAGTTTAGAAATTTTTATGCCACTTTCAAAGTTCCATTTTCAGTTCCAATTTTGCTGGGAAATATCAACCGAGATAAATGAATTCAAAATAAAATTTACTACAATCTATATAACTCACCACTAGTTTTTTTTTTTTTATATTTTGTAAGTGCATAAGTGATATATTGTACATCTTTGTCATGGACAACTACTATATAGTTTACATTTTAAGAAATTTAACTGACTTTGTAAATGGTCCAAGTCGGACCAAAACGTCGTCGTAAGCTTCTCTCTTTTATGTGCGGGTTATTTGTGTATCGTTCCAGTCACGGTATTGTGCCTTTTATTGTTATTCATTATCATTATATCCATAGGGAACCAATAAACCCATAAGGGTCATACAGTGCTTGGAGAATGATAGGAAATCAGGCTTAATCCAAAGGCCATTCAAATTCCTTGGATCAAGAGCAACTCACTAGCATCAATAGTTGGAGAGAATAAGCGAGTAAAAATTTGAATTTTACCATAACATTCCAATTTCAAGAGATGTGCAAGATAAGCTTCCTTATAATGAAGGATTGTATCCATAAATTTGTAAAAAGTCACCACCACTTACACACACTATGGAAGAAGTCCCCTTCGTAGTTATGATCATAACGGTATAAGTGGTAACGAGCTGCAGAATCAGGTACATGACTTGGTAGATCAGTTACAAGCAAAGATTTTGCTGTACCTGATAAATGAATTTCTTCTGCTGATGTATCTGTCCAAAAGATAAGATTATCAAAATTTTTAATATTCTCATATGAAATAAAAAAATTTTAATCTAATATCAAATAAATTTTTTTTTTTAATATTCTAACATGAAATAAAAAATAATAATATTATAACAAAATCAAATAAATTATATACAGAGCATAAAATTATTTGGAGGAAAAGCAGATTATAATGATCAAATATACACAATTCCATTGTTATACAACTTTCTAAAAAAAAATACCAAAAAAATCCCTATTTTACCAATTTTGAGTTGTACATATTGGAGATTGCCTGTAGTAAATTCTGTGACTGCATCAAGAGCATCAGGTGCGATGGGGAACGTAATGCCAGCCATAGTCTGGTGCTTGGTGTCTACTCCAATGTCAACTCCAACTTCTTGTTTTTTAATTTCCTGAATCTCCTCTTCCTATAATGAGATAGTCAATGTTATAATAAAATGCTAGAGGTTGCGAGTTCTAAATGTACATTCTTTCCTTCTTTATAATGAATGAAAAAATAAGTCTATATTCGCTTAAAAATTTTCAGCATGATATAAAGAAGTCTACAGTGGACCCCCGGTTAATGATATTTTTTCATTCCAGAAGTATGTTCAGGTGCCAGTACTGACCGAATTTGTTCCCATAAGGAATATTGTGAAGTAGATTAGTCCATTTCAGACCCCCAAACATACACGTACAAACGCACTTACATAAATACACTTACATAATTGGTCGCATTGGGAGGTGATCGTTAAGCGGGGGTCCACTGTATTTTACTAAGTAATGCTTTGTATGAAGCATCCATATTTTTCATTTGTTTACAAAATAATTTTTCGTGAACTCATTGTAACCAACTGCAGGATTAACCTTCGAAGATGTATAAAAATGTGAAGTTTATCTCTGGAATTGCTTGTTATATTGTACTGGTATGAGATGGACATAGAGGTATTATAGAGGCAGAAAATGAATATAAAGTTCATTTAATTAGCACTACATTTAATAAGGGCTTAGATAATAATGAAACAAAAATTAGCAGCCAGATTACTTCTCACTGTTGCTAGAAAGCAGTTTCTCTAAGCAAACACATATTATACAGCAATATAAAAACAAAAGAATAAAATAAACTATTCATCTTCTTGATGTAATAATTAACAAAAGATTCAACATGAATAATGTCAAGTTTAAAATTAGTTTTTGTTGGTTATCTTTCAAACGAGTTAAAAAGAAAAGAAAGACATTACTACAGTTGTTCTAAAACTTTTAAAATAAAATACACCCATAAACTTACTTTGTAGGTTTATTTAATCCATCTACTCTACATAAAATTTTAGAATGAAAATCAGAGTATTTTAATTCTGCCTAAAACAGAAGGTATAGCACAGTATCTTAATTATTTCCTATAAAGGCACATTTTTAGGAACATGACAAGCAATGTGCATTACAGTGTGTTCAAGGAAAAATCCAAAAAATAATTAAATAAGAGAACTGCCAATTATGACACAAAACTTCTGGTATTACCACTTTTAGTATAGTACATTTATATATCAATAACATAAGTTCTAATACGGAAAGTAAAAATGAGGGCTCGTGTTTGTTACCGTAACAATGGACGAGTAAATGGTATTCAGCAGGTTTTCTTAAAAAAAGGGTAAACAATGGGATACACACATATCTAACTCATTTCAACCTTGGAAGCTGCTTCTGAACTTTTCGCCAAGAATTACAGAGTATACGAATTAGATGAGCCGAACAGATCTTCTTTTCCGTTTTCCTCCTCACTCTGTAGTAAGAGAACACTACGATTTATAACTTCAGTTTAACCTGACCACTGACTGATGACAGTCAATTACAGGGAATTATTTATGAACTTGCTTCCAAAAATTTGTGTGTGAAACCAAATTCTACATTACTGGTACCATTTTGGTAGAAGAGTTTCTTTGGCATGCCTTACTTTGGTGGAAAATGGTCGCTAGGGTAAAATAATAAAAAAAGGTACCCCACCATTTTACTGTTTTTTTTTTTTCCTATAAGGATTAGTGGATTTTTTCCTTATTACAAAATGGCCTTCTCCAAATGAGGTAGGGTGACCCAAAAAAGAAACACTTTCACTATCATTCACTCCATCACTGTCTTGTCAGAGGCATGATGATACTACAATTCAGATGCCCTTCTAAGCTGCAAATATTCCCACCTCTTTTTCAGAGTGCAGGCAGTGTACTTCCCACCTCTAGGACTCAAGTATGGCTAACTGGTTTCCCCTGAACCCTTCCAAAAAATGTTACCTTGCTCACACTCCAACAGCTCATCGAGTCCCAAAAACCACTTGCCTCCACTCACTTTTATGTAACATGCTCACAAACACTTGGATGTCTAAGCCCCTTGCACACAAAACCTCCTTTACCCCCTCCTCTAACTTTTACTAGGATGACACCTGTCCTGCCTTCCTTTTACTACAGATTTATACACCCTCCAAGTCATCCTATTTTGATCCATCCTCTCTAAATATCTAAATCACCTCTACAACCCCTCCTCATCCCTCTGGTTAATACTTTTAGTAACCCCAAACCTTCTAATATCCAAGCTATGAATTCTCCCAAATATATGAATACATTTAATTTCCTCCATACTTCTATGTACTGATGAATATACAAGTTTAGATCTGAGAGTACAATCAATAACTTTCTTTAAGCATGTATAGAATAATTATATTACAAAAGTATACGTACACTAGATTATAGTACATGTTTTCATGGATAAGTGGCTTGGTTATATGCCATTATATTTAAAATTCTTCCACACAGTGCATCATATCAAAGTAGAAAGATTTAGCTATACAACTTATTTAATGAGAGTAAGACACATGTGCAACATGTTGCACATGTGTCTTACTCTCATCTTGTCAGTATTAATATACTAACATTCGTACACAATATTTAATAATAAAGGCTGGGAGTGGTTAAAAGGCGTTTTTGTTACTTAAACAGAAAGATTTTAATTGCTGATGTCTTAAATATTTAATCATTAACTGCTAATTTGAAATATAAACTGAAAGAAAATATTCTAGAACAATGAAAAATAAAATTATATAATCTGGATATATTGTTATTTTTTAACATCAGTTGTCTTTCATAGAAATTCACAAGTGCTGACATACCACAAGCAAAATTGCTACTGCATACTCTTGGTGGCTTTCTTTTGTGCTTAATATTTTATTACATGTAAACTACATTTTGCATACTGCAGAAAAGAAATAAAGTTGTATAACAATAATGAAGAAGAAATACTAAATTTTAAATTCGAGAGTGATAATATGATCATAAGCTTTATAAAAGAAAAAATAAACAAAATCAATGGTAACCTAGAAAATAATTTCAGTAGCAGAATGAAAGTTTTGAGCAGGATATTTTTCCAAAACTAGAAATATTTTTAGACTATGCAAACATACCCTTGGAGTGAGTGGTACCGGAGCAGATGCTGATTTTCGATGACGGCGCAGCCCATCTAAACTCACATCTTCCTGTACAAGGTGAATAATAACAGTAAATAGTCTATCATATATATGGCGAAGTGGAGAAGACTCCTTCCTTCTAACCCTTGCACTGTCTAGACCCCCAATCTGAAACTGTCCAGACTGTCCAAGAATTTAAAAAAAAAAAAAAAAAAAAAGAGATTTTTCTTATGAAATGGTAGAGAATCTTTTTCTGAGGGTACTAAAACAAAAAGTATGAAATTTGATGAAAAATTGACGAAATTACACTTTCGTGAATTTTGCTGTGTCAGCAATATTTACGTATCAGCAATTCTGCCTACTTTTGAGTCCTATTTTAGGCGGCCAATTACATTCCAGTCGACCAAATTCTTAGCTATTTCACTAGAATGTCTTCCATTTTATTGAATGAGCACAAGAAATCACCCAATCAGCTAATTCAACTACCCAATAAAGTGATCAGAATTTGGTAACTGGGCCAATTTTGCACAAAAGTTTTTTTTCTTTTTACATTTAGTGATTTATATAGGAGAAGGTGTTACTAGCCCTTTGCTCTCAGCATTTTAGTTGCCTCTTAAGATAATGCTTGGCTTATAGAGGAAGGATTCTTCTCCACATATGGAACTGAAATGGGACATGACATAACTTATTCAGAGAGAGAGAGAGAACCCTCTACAATAATGATATGTAAAGGATGAAACAACATAAATGTTACAAAACCAAAGACTATACTTACATGCATAGTGCCAAATATTTCGTCCCTTATTTGAGTTGCTCCAAACTCCTTTCTGAGTGTGGCCTTTGTAGAAGCATACAGCATCTTCTCACGTATTGGAGAGTCATCAGGAGACCAGCTGATCAATACCCATTCATACCCTCCATGTGCTTCACTGTCTAATCTACAAACATTAGACAGATTTCTTATTTTTTGCTATTAAAGGGATGCAGTAAAGGACCCTGTACATTGTATGAAAAAGTTCATGTCTTTCAGACTGAAGAAGCAGTTTTTTTATTACAGCCTCTCCTCACTTAACAGAGTTCCATTCCTGAGACCACGTTGGTAAACAAATTCGTCACTAAGTGAGGAGCATACTATAATAGTAGTGGGTTTGAGTCAACCATCTTTGATACTGCTGTAATGTCACCTTTGCACCATTTATAACATCTTTGGTATATTTTTAAATGCTTATACAGTAGTGTACTGCATATTGTAATACACAGAATAGAAGAAATCAGCTCTAATATGCATTATTTAGGCATGCATACTGGTCAGCAAGCCCGTCGTAAGTCAGATTCGTCGGTAAACGAGTACATCGCTAAGTGAGGAGAGGCTGTCTTAGCATATTGGCCATTTCCCACTGAGGCAGGGTGGCCTTGTAGTAGTACCTATCTTCATTAATTGCTACTTGATGAAGTTCACACCTACATAATTCATCTTACAGTTATCAGATTATCATTCTTTCCCAGATCATCCTTACAGTATCTCAGTCACTTGAATATTCCACCAATTCTCTTCATCCATTGTAAATATTTACTATTTCTGTGTCTTTCTGGAAGCTAAATTTTTCCCACCTGTTCTACTCAGTACTTATGCAGCCAGACAACAATAATGCAAAATTTCAGTTTAGAGTTGTATAAAATTTGCAAATAACAGTTAACCAAAACTGATTTCTAGTGTTTCTACATGCCCCCTGGCCCAAGACCAGGCTTCACCCTGTATGGGTATGAAGACAATATGCAGAAGCTTTCATTGGCCGTACCTTCCATTCAGGCCTGAGCTTAATTATTTCATGACTTAATATACAGTAGCTCATTCCTGAACAAAACACAGCCCCAATCAAAGCTCACACTGTGTCTTTACATCCACACCTGTTGGGATAATGCCTCTGCATCCAATGTTCAAGGAATTCCATTGAGCTAGAGGAGACCCTTACCCCTAAAGTTTACTATGTTAAATGACTGTATACACCTTAACTAATTATGTGCATTTCATGTCTAAACAAAAATTCTTCAAGAATGTTGTACTGACTAAAACACTGAAAAATTTAATATGCTGAACAAATTAATAGTATTAGGAAAATTTATATCATTATGTGCCAGTGAACTAACATACAATATTTAGTAAAACAGAATGTAATAAATAATATGTTATCTAACCTGTAAAGAAGGTAGCATGGTTGCTTCTCTACAAGCAGTGGTAATACCAAGCTGTCATAATCATCTTCCCATGAACCCTGCGCTGAATGCCATTCACCAAGTTGAAGAGCCTCTGTCGATACAACCACATTTAAAATTGATTTTTGTACAAAATGCAATTTCCATTATACTCCATGTTATTTTGTATTATTTACTATTATTCTGTACTGCTTTGTTATAATTACTACTGCTTTAATATAAAGACATGGGGTGCCAATTTAATACTGAATTCTTGTATATTAAAATTTTTTAGCATATAGCATTTTGTTAGCTTAATAAAGCTGCAGCAAGCTAAATGCTACCAATTTAGCTACAGAATTTATTATACAGTTCTTTCCTTAGTTATGCATATGACAAAGTAAATTACTGAATGTAATAGTTACCAATACCATTTTCAATAGTAATTCTGAAGACCCTGACACTTCCATTACGACAGGTACTGAAGAAATTCAATAAATCTTCATTTGCTGAAAGTAAGAGTGAAATTTTAATAAAAAAAAAAAGTTAACTGCAGACTTTGTTAATTACAATACTTAAAACAATTACCATAGCCTAGACATTAACATTGGAAATATGAGATATGTAGTAACAAATTTACAGAGAGTAAAATTCTAATTAATATTTATTGCTATAATTCTACCATTGATATAAATTTTAAGTAAATTATGTATCTGTAATTGTCCAATACGTCAGTGGTAACTTGTCCCTTCATACACAATATAAATTGCTTTTCAACAGCCGGCCTACTCTTACCACCTAACATTTTTATCCCAACTACTTTATGACTGGAAGAAAATACTCATGCTCAACTGTCACACAATGCCTAAATTTACATGCTAGGACTAGAATTAAGTACATACTTTGCATGATTCTGAATTAGTTTGCCCAAAATACTTTGAATAATAAATGCCTTTATTCTGAATGTATAAACTACGTATAATCAAGAAAACTGTAAAGCAATCTATTTAACTTCTATGTATGTTTTATAAGATTTTCATTTTTTTTTATTTTTTAGTTATTTTTGATACCGTTAACTGAACATATTTTTTTTTTGCATTCGTACTAGGGTGTTATAAATGATTAATTTTGGTTACATTACATTTGTCTTATCTAACTGAAAACTGCACACAGTAAAATCAGCTTAACTCCATATACAGTATGACCTCACATAATGTAGTAGCTGTGTTCCTGAAATTGACACTTTATATGAAATCACACTATGTAATATATATGATATATGCAAAAAATAGGGTTAGGTACACAGTACCTCCAAGACAGCCATACTGTACATGTGGTTGCTTGTTAACATAACATCACCTATCAGCATTATAACCACCTAACCCCATCAATCACCACGCTCCACCACCACTTACGGCCAGTAATATTTCATATCGTATTTGCTACCATCTCCACAACTTACCAACCTGATCCCTCATTACTGCCTACCAGCATTATCCCCACCTAACATCATCTTTCACCATCACTTACATTAGTAATATTTCATACTGAAGCTGCTACCCCCTCGACGACTTACCAGCCTCTCCACTAATGATCACCTACCAGCATTATCACCACCTAACAATCTATCACTACATAACACTACCTTCAAGCATCACCCAGGAGATGCCTACAGCACAGAGGGGTATTTTCCATGCAGGATCCAGCCTGATTTCAAATTTTTCCACAACTCTGCACTGTGGAGAGGAATTTCCCAAGTAGGAACCAGTCCAAACAAAATTTTTCAAACTTAAGGTGCATTAAACACAAGCTGGAGCTGAGGCCTAATAATTTTGAGATATAAATATGATTAGTATTCTAATCAAATTGTGCTACCTCAATCAGTTATAAGGGACCTCTCTGTGGTAAAACCCAATGTTGTGTCTAGGGAGGATGGAGAATGGGTGAATCTTATGTTCATGAAACTACACCAAAGGGGTGAAAATTTGAAGCCAATCAGATGAGTTTCTCTCCAGTTATGATACAGATTCCAATAATTCTAAGTTTTTTACTATTTTACTACATCAACAAATCTGCCTGCATGCAAACTAAACTTAATAGGTACTATCTTGGCCCTAAGATGCATCAGCCATTCAGAAGTAAACTGAATATTACTTAGTGTGATTTAACAGGAATAAAAACTTCATTCTATTTTATATGGTAAAAACTATACCTACATATTTGAATTTCACTCTATCAGTTTCTGCTCTTTTTCTAAACACCTGTAGCTCTGCTATTGATAATTTTGGAAGTTACCCGAGACATTCCTGGAGACTGGGAATGGGTTCAACATTTTGGTCATGGGGCATGTGAACATACCAATTATTCCAAGAATTTGGTCCTTGTATCTGTACACAAGTGTTGAAAATTTGAAGGTGACTGGACGAGGCGGTCTTAAGTTATGAGTGAAACAAAATCGAAAAGTTGGAGGAAGAAAAGGAAAAAAAAAAAAATTCAGGCAACCATTTAAAGGTCCCCCTTTGGAGAGGTCTAAATAAGCCTCTTCCCCTCCGAAACATAAATTTTTTTGGAAATTTTGGCTTTAAAACATCAGTAATATAATGGAACTCTAAAGGCAGAGCATAAATAAGAAAATTAACAATTGTTTATGTAGACCTCATATATAACTTTAAACCTTTACAATGGTTTCATGCCGTAAATTAGATTTAACCTAGATAATACTCATCAAAGAAGATTCCTTGATATTGATAAGGGGCTCTTGATTTAAGGAATTGGACCAACATTTCAATTAAATGAATCAAGCCTAAATGCCTTCCATATCCCGAGGCAGTGTATGACCCCCATAGATGTAATAATAAGCAATAATAACTCGATTAACCGAAGTAGTGTAACATTATTATTATAATCAAGGGGGAAGCACTAAACCTGCAGGATTATACAGCACCTGGGGGAGATGTGGAAGGTATTCAGGGAACCAAAGAACAGATCCAATTCCCTAGATCAAGAGCCCCTCACCAGCATCAAGGAAGCTTCCTTAAGGGGAGAAGTAGTGTAACAGACTACCAAGGAAGAGGTCAGAGAAAGTTACATTACAACCTTAAGTTTGCTAAACTACAATATTAAAGTAATATAAAAAACATATAATATTAAGGTGTTTCCTTATATGTTTCATTTTAGATCTTTATAAGATGTTATGGAATACATATTTTATTTATTCTAACCAGAGGGGGGGAAGCGGTAAACAAGTAGGGGTCATATACCACCTGGGGAATGGCAGGTATTCGGGTTAGATTCAGGTTAGAGGAAGATAAATCCAGTTCCTAGGATCAAAAGCCCCTCAGAGGCACCAAGGCACCACCCACAAGGGCCACAAAACACATAATAAACTTACTGATAACAACAGCAGGAGGTAACGCCCTCCCTATAATCACGTCAATTATCCCTACCTCCTCTCCCCTCCCAACAATTAATAACACAAAACACACATATAACACCTTATAAAACTCCCATAACATCAATAACAAGAGATAAAGTTATATAAACAGCCAATTAAGACTTAAATACCTGTTATGCCAGTTTGATGTGACATGACTGGTGTGTGTTGGTGTGTCAGGTCGCTTACTGCACTACTACCTACTGCATTATTATTATTATTATTAATTATCAATACCTACTTTATTATGTTCTGGAATATATCAAATAAAAATGTTTATTTCCTTGTGGTTTATATGTTGTAAAATGTTAATTACAAAAAAGGCTATTAGCCTGCCTTGGCATTTCTGGCAGTAAGTTTATTTAGGCACTCCAGTGGAAATAAAAGGACCCCAATGGAAATAAAAGGACCCAATGAAAATAAAAGGACCCAAAATGGAAATAAAAGGACCCTAATGGAAATAAAACGAGCCCAATGGAAATAAAAGGACCAAATGGAAATAAAAGGACCCAAATGGAAATAAAAGGACCCCAATGGAAATAAAAAGACCCCAATGGAAATAAAAGGACTCCAATGGAAATAAAAGGACCCAAACGGAAATAAAGGGACCCCAATGGAAATAAAAGGACTCCAATGGAAATAAAAGGACTCCAATGGAAATAAAAGGACCCAAACGGAAATAAAGGGACCCCAATGGAAATAAAAGGACTCCAATGGAAATAAAAGGACCCCAATGGAAATAAAAGGACCCCAGTGGAAATAAAAGGACCCCAATGGAAATAAAAGGACCCCAATGGAAATAAAAGGACCCAATGGAAATAAAAGGACCCCAATGGAAATAAAAGGACCCCAATGAAAATAAAAGAACCCCAACGGAAATAAAAGGACTAGAGGGACTAGTACCGAACTTGCACACGAAAATCACTCACTATGAAAGCAAAAGACTTGGCAGACGATGCAACATCCCCCCAATGAAAAGCAGGGGTGTCACTAGCACGTTAAGAGACCATACAATAAGTGTCAGGGGCCCGAGACTGTTCAACTGCCTCCCAGCATATATAAGGGGGATTACCAACAGACCCCTGACATCTCAGACGTCCTCACAATGATGTAAATCTTTTTCAATCATTGAATGATCCGGCACCTCCACCACAATACACATAAATTATCTGACTTTTGCTTAAAAATTCAAATAACTTAAAAGTGCCATTGCTGTATAGCTGTGTCTTTGTGCGTTTTTAGGGCTGAAGTGCTTGCGATGTGCGTTTTGCGTCGCCTTTGCAACAACGTGTCCCTGAACCATATCCAGTCATTGCATGTTGAAGTGCTTCCAGTCAGTTGCAGTCAGCACCCGCAGAGTCCCTGTTGTCTTTTATGTCGTCTTCGTTATTGTTTATCCAGGCTTAGCAGTTGAGTCTAGTCCTGACTCTTCTCTCTTCAACTCAAGACATTCCTCTCACCGTCTATTCTTCGCACTGTCCCCACTTGCCCCTCGCCCCTCGTGGGTCCTTACCTGTGAGTCCTATCGTATCGTACCCCTGGCAGTCTTCAAGCTGGCACTGGACAAGCACCTAAAGTCAGTTCCTGATCAGCCGGGCTGTGGCTCGTACGTTGGTTTGCGTGCAGCCAGCAGCAACAGCCTGGTTGATCAGGCTCTGGTCCACCAGGAGGCCTGGTCACAGACCGGGCCGCGGGGGCGTTGATCCCCGAAACTCTCTCCAGGTAAACCCCAATGGAAATAAAAGAACCCCAATGGAAATAAAGGGACCCCAATGGAAATAAAAGGACCCCAATGGAAATAAAAGGACCCAAATGGAAATAAAAGGACCCCAATGGAAATAAAAGGACCCCAATGGAAATAAAAAGACCCCAATGGAAATAAAATGACCCCAATGGAAATAAAAGGACCCCAATGGAAATAAAAGGACCCAAATGGAAATAAGTCACTGTTAGACTTTTTTGGGTTATCTTAGGTTCTCTACACATATGCTGCTATGTATGAAAATCTATGTAACTATTTGTGTATACCTGAATAAACTTACTTACGCATAAGTACAATTATTATATATAGTAACATACATATAATCACCTAGGATAAACCCAAAAAGGTCAGACAATGCTATGACATTACTGACATTATTATATGTTATCTGAACTTTGGTTTACCTATTTCTCATTACTTGTGATCTTTGAATGCTTATTATGTGGCTAAACACCAGTTGTTTATCATTTAGGTACAGGTATACATAAGTACAGTTATTATACATAGTGTAAATTACCTAGGATAACCCAAAAATAGGTACCTGTACTGTTTGCAAAGACATAAAATAAATAAATAAATAAATAAATAAATAAATAAATAAATAAATAAATAAATAAATAAATAGTGGACTGATGTGGGTCGCATCCTGGGTCAAAATTGACCTAATTTGCCCGAAATGCTCTGCATTAACAAGTTTTATATATATATATATATATATATATATATATATATATATAATATATATATATATATATATATATATATATATATATATATATATATATATATATATATATATATATATATATATATATATATATATATATATATATATATATATATATATATATATATATATATATATATATTATATATATATTTTTTATTTTTTTTTTTATTATCACACCGGCCGATTCCCACCAAGGCAGGGTGGCCCGAAAAAGAAAAACTTTCACCATCATTCACTCCATCACTGTCTTGCCAGAAGGGTGCTTTACACTACAGTTTTTAAACTGCAACATTAACACCCCTCCTTCAGAGTGCAGGCACTGTACTTCCCATCTCCAGGACTCAAGTCGGCCTGCCGGTTTCCCTGAATCCCTTCATAAATGTTACTTTGCTCACACTCCAACAGCACGTCAAGTATTAAAAACCATTTGTCTCCATTCACTCCTATCAAACACGCTCACGCATGCCTGCTGGAAGTCCAAGCCCCTCGCACACAAAACCTCCTTTACCCCCTCCCTCCAACCCTTCCTAGGCCGACCCCTACCCCGCCTTCCTTCCACTACAGACTGATACACTCTTGAAGTCATTCTGTTTCGCTCCATTCTCTCTACATGTCCGAACCACCTCAACAACCCTTCCTCAGCCCTCTGGACAACAGTTTTGGTAATCCCGCACCTCCTCCTAACTTCCAAACTACGAATTCTCTGCATTATATTCACACCACACATTGCCCTCAGACATGACATCTCCACTGCCTCCAGCCTTCTCCTCGCTGCAACATTCATCACCCACGCTTCACACCCATATAAGAGCGTTGGTAAAACTATACTCTCATACATTCCCCTCTTTGCCTCCAAGGACAAAGTTCTTTGTCTCCACAGACTCCTAAGTGCACCACTCACTCTTTTTCCCTCATCAATTCTATGATTCACCTCATCTTTCATAGACCCATCCGCTGACACGTCCACTCCCAAATATCTGAATACGTTCACCTCCTCCATACTCTCTCCCTCCAATCTGATATTCAATCTTTCATCACCTAATCTTTTTGTTATCCTCATAACCTTACTCTTTCCTGTATTCACCTTTAATTTTCTTCTTTTGCACACCCTACCAAATTCATCCACCAATCTCTGCAACTTCTCTTCAGAATCTCCCAAGAGCACAGTGTCATCAGCAAAGAGCAGCTGTGACAACTCCCACTTTGTGTGTGATTCTTTATCTTTTAACTCCACGCCTCTTGCCAAGACCCTCGCATTTACTTCTCTTACAACCCCATCTATAAATATATTAAACAACCACGGTGACATCACACATCCTTGTCTAAGGCCTACTTTTACTGGGAAAAAATTCCCTCTTTCCTACATACTCTAACTTGAGCCTCACTATCCTCGTAAAAACTCTTTACTGCTTTCAGTAACCTACCTCCTACACCATACACTTGCAACATCTGCCACATTGCCCCCCTATCCACCCTGTCATACGCCTTTTCCAAATCCATAAATGCCACAAAGACCTCTTTAGCCTTATCTAAATACTGTTCACTTATATGTTTCACTGTAAACACCGGGTCCACACACCCCCTACCTTTCCTAAAGCCTCCTTGTTCATCTGCTATCCTATTCTCCGTCTTACTCTTAATTCTTTCAATTATAACTCTACCATACACTTTACCAGGTACACTCAACAGACTTACCCCCCTATAATTTTTGCACTCTCTTTTATCCCCTTTGCCTTTATACAAAGGAACTATCCCATGCTCTCTGCCAATCCCTAGGTACCTTACCCTCTTCCATACATTTATTAAATAATTGCACCAACCACTCCAAAACTATATCCCCACCTGCTTTTAACATTTCTATCTTTATCCCATCAATCCCGGCTGCCTACCCCCTTTCATTTTACCTACTGCCTCACGAACTTCCCCCACACTCACAACTGACTCTTCCTCACTCCTACAAGATGTTATTCCTCCTTGCCCTATACACGAAATCACAGCTTCCCTATCTTCATCAACATTTAACAATTCCTCAAAATATTCCTTCCATCTTCCCAATACCTCTAACTCTCCATTTAATAACTCTCCTCTCCTATTTTTAACTGACAAATCCATTTGTTCTCTAGGCTTTCTTAACTTGTTAATCTCACTCCAAAACTTTTTCTTATTTTCAACAAAATTTGTTGATAACATCTCACCCACTCTCTCATTTGCTCTCTTTTTACATTGCTTCACCACTCTCTTAACTTCTCTCTTTTTCTCCATATACTCTTCCCTCCTTGCATCACTTCTACTTTGTAAAAACTTCTCATATGCTAACTTTTTCTCCCTTACTACTCTCTTTACATCATCATTCCACCAATCGCTCCTCTTCCCTCCTGCACCCACTTTCCTGTAACCACAAACTTCTGCTGAACACTCTAACACTACATTTTTAAACATACCCCATACCTCTTCGACCCCATTGCCTATGCTCTCATTAGCCCATCTATCCTCCAATAGCTGTTTATATCTTACCCTAACTGCCTCCTCTTTTAGTTTATAAACCTTTACCTCTCTCTTCCCTGATGCTTCTATTCTCCTGTATCCCATCTACCTTTTACTCTCAGTGTAGCTACAACTAGAAAGTGATCTGATATATCTGTGGCCCCTCTATAAACATGTACATCCTGAAGTCTACTCAACAGTCTTTTATCTACCAATACATAATC